TAGCTCATTTATACTGCAGTAGTTAAGAGAGGTAAGCGATTATATTAATAGAGTTTTAAATGTTGAATATTAAACCATGCAAAGACAATTACGCGCATCACATAAAGTTACTATTGCTTCTCCGTTTGTTGAATAAGTGTCAGAAATTTCATTTATCTTCGGTTTACTAAAATGTAAAACGAAATTTCGATTATTAATGAACGGCTGCTAAGCTACAAAATGTTCGTTGAGATAAAGCGAAACATATTATACCGAAATACAGCAACCCAAACTTTTTTTGTTTCAGAAGATATCTACCATAAACCCAGACTCGCATACAAGCAATGAACTTGATGTTTCATTATGTTTGTATCCTTTCATAGAAACTTGAGTTCCATCATCGTTTAAAACTGCGCATTATACAGGGTGTCCGAAAAGTCTTTCCCTGATTACATAAACTGATAACTCAGGCTAGAAGTAAGATACAAATATGAAACTGGTGTCTAATTGTTTACAAACTATCAAAGTTTTTTCACACATCAGTAAACTTCCACATGAGCACCCTTGGTAGCACGCAGCACATATAGGTGATATTCAATTTCCGTCCACACATTAGCCAACATCACTGGAGGGATCGATTCAACGACTGTGGTTATCTGTTGCCGCAGGGTTTCAAGATCTGGTACACGTATTCGGTAGACCTCGTCCTTGACATAACCCCATAAAAAGAAGTTGAATGGGGTTATGTCAAGAGAGCGTGGAGGCCAAACCGTCGGCCCATCACGACCAATCCATCGCCCAGGAAAGGTCATATCGAGATAGACACGGACGTCCAAACCCCAATGAGGCGGTGCACCGTCTTGCTGAAACAAGACATCGGGGTGATACTGAAGCAGCTGAGGAACACAATACAGTTGCAACATGTCCAGATACACTGCAGATGTGATGGTAGCCTCAGCGAAGAAGAATGGCCCGATAATTCGATCGTGCAATAGCGCGCACCAAACATTCACCTTCGGACTGCCTCTGGTGCACTCCATGACCTCGCCAGGGGATTGTGAACCCCAAATGCGCACATTATGGCGATTCACTACTCCACTGACAAAAAAGATCGCTTCGTCGCAAAAAAAGCAATTCGTCTGAGATAACCATCATCGTCCTCAATACGTGATAGCATTTCAACCGCAAAGTCATATCGATGTGTACTGTCATTGGGCAACAAGGCCTGAACGATTTGCACTTTGTATGCACGAAACAATAAACGTTTGCATAAAATGTCATGGAGAGAGCTTTTTGGTATCTGTAATTCACGTGAGGCCCTGCGCATCGATTTCTTCGGACTTCGCAGAAAAGACTGCCTCACAGCTTCCACCCTGTCTGCAGAGATTCTTGGTCGACCAGACCTCGGAAGGTCAGCAACCGATCCTGTGTTCTTGAACTTCTCATACCAGGCTTTAATGCTCTTGACATCAGGTGGATTCCTTCCAAATGTTGTCTGGAAATGTCTCTGTACTGTGGTTGATGATCATGTCTCATGGTACCACAGGACACACTGTGCCTTCTCCTGATTGGTTAACATGGGTTCTTGGGCACTGCACCTCATCCACTACTTACGTACTGCGAACCTAAAACAGAAAAAAGAACTTTGATAGTTTGTAAATAATTCGACACAAGTTTCATATTTGTATCTTACTTCTAGCCTGAGTTATCAATTTATGTAATCAGGGAAAGACTTTTTGGACACCCTGTATTATTATGTAAATGATAGAATGTTCTTTATTTCTTTAATCGATTTTTTTATTTACTACACATTTTATTCATTACTAAAATGCAAAAGGAATGCACAAGTAGACAATTTTAATTTAAAACATATAAAAAAAATACTTACATTTTTTTCTCAGCATTAGTGTGAAGAAAAATTGACACCTTTTTCTAGAAAGGCTATTACAATATTACCCTTATAATGAATGCAAAATGTTAAACAGAAAACATCGCAATGGTAAATTTATTCATATATTTTTATCTATAGGATTAGAAGAGGACGTACCAAGGAGCTCGTTAGATGGCCTGTTGGACACAGAACGGATGGCAGATGACGTAGGACGCTGCTCTATTACTCTCTCGACGGCTGAACGGATGGCATTTTGTTAATTATATATATCATACTAAAGGTGCCACGAGCACTTGTTTCTATAAGTCAAGACTAGAAATTGTTTCCTCTCAGCTGTGATCGGCCAAAAATCAGTCGATCACGATCTATTCCTGCACTAGAGGATTTTTTTAGATTGTTGCAAGCCGAAGAAAGATTTTTGAAAGCGGATTGCAAGAAAGCATTAATCACAGTGCACATTCAAACGGAGAATGTAGTGGTAAATATGAGATAGGCATATTATGTGAAATGGTCCTTCTTCAGGTAGGTGGAAGATTTGTTAACTAAAATACTTCATGAAACACCTTGGAAAAATACAGAGCGAGCTGTTTGCCCGTTCATTCAGGCAATGATTGAGTTCTGATCCATAACAGCCCGAGTATGATATATACTTTTGCTGTAAAATTAGAGTACGTTTTGCCGAAAAACAAGATTTTATAGTAAGTTCTATGATTCGGAAAATTGGCCCGTTATAACAGAAACTTGAATAATTGTAGAAAAAAGAATTATACTTCATAAACTTTAATAACTGGATTTTTAATGAAGGATTTATTGTAACCAAGAAATTATACCTGTTATCAAAAATAAAGGTATAATTTTATGATTTTGAAAATTTGTTCATTAAACTGTTTGAACACATTTTTAAATGTTTGCTTGTTCTCGTAAGAGAAGTATGAAGACCAGTATGAAAAAACAAATATTATCTTATGCAATTCTAATTTCATAGCTATCTCTTAACAATTTAAAACGACTTTTTTTTTCTTTTTAAGATTTTGGTTTATTTATCAAGAAAAATCGTGCAAAGAATTTACTTGCCATCGAAACACAGCCCTTCGGGAGTGGTTTCGAAATCTCTTTCTTTTTTGTTAACATATGAGTTAATGCAAGACGCTGAAAACTAATGAATGGAAGTCAGTTTTATTCCGCCTATTGAATGTTTGGAGTTTACCGAAACCCCTATTTGAAACATGGATTTGTTCAAAAGGTTTAGAACACGAAAACGTAAATTTAACGTTATTAATGTTTCAGTATAACATGTGTTAGAGGTAAAGCATGAAAAACGTTTGTTTCAATGTGTTGAAGTTGATTATCTCATAATCCAGCTTCAAAGTGTTTTTATTTATTAAAGACAATCAGTGAAGTATGGAAATATGCAATGTTTGAATTATCTTGTGTAATGTTGAAAGATTCAAATATTTTGTCTGAAAGACGAGAATAATTTTATATCAATTGAAACCTCTGAAAAGATGAAAATAATTTGTTTAACTGAAACACCTGTATGTGCGTAAAATTATCTTTTCTTAAATTTATGACATGCTTTTAACTTATCAATATTTCACAGCTTTTATACGTTAATAAGTGAGGAACACAGTTTTCTAAACACACGGAAAATATATTATCTAATAAAAGGAAACTTAATTTAATACTTTAAGGTCCGATTACATATCATGTCTGAAATGCCAATGAATACTTGTAATACCAGTTAGAGTTTGTGTTTATTGAATGTAGACATTCCGCAAGTAAATTAAATAAACTTGAAAAAAAAAATAGCTAACAAAGTAGCTATAGCGCAAAATAAATAATGGGAAATATCTGCTTTTCCAAATATTTTATTGATTTTCAAATACTGTTGTTCATTATATTAAGATCCTAAGATCTTTTAGAAAAATGAAGGAGAAATGAGAATTTGGATCAGAAATTTCAGGAAGATGAAGAACTTTAATCGCAAATCAATAACAATGATAAAATAAACTTAATAAAACAAAAATGAAAGGTAGAAAGAAAAACGTAACATTTACGCTTTTGTGGGGTTATGTTTCCATTATACTAATTAACATAAAAAAGAATCAATTCCTTATTCGCTTCGGGCCCACCAACGGCCGAGCGGTAAGTCGCTGAACACTGGTAGTTCGGTCCGAGGTTCGAATCCCGCGAATGGGCTGGCTGCATGGGTGTTTTCGTGTATACGAGCCAGTATCACGAAGGCATCCCTTCCCTTAGGGCACTAGGCAGATAGCCCTAGTGTGCTTTGCCATAATTAAATACACCTTATTCGTTTCAGAAGGACTGATATATGATAATTTAAAAAAATATTATGTTGAGCAGGAGATCAGGTCTTTCTAAAATAAGAATTATGGATGAGGGCAATTTAGATTGCCTGACACTATAAACTAACCAATTAACTATGAAAAAAATTGCCATTAATAATTTGTTATTTATTGTTAAAATGAAAAACATGCACATTAGTACACGTTTCTGCAAAGCTAAGATCATTTTTAGAAGAACTCGCGTAATTGCTCAGACTTTGTTTAATATTTGAGGATAAAAATATGCGTCAGTTGATCATAATATTAGAAAACATATAAAACTGAAACTCCTCACCTTTAAGTTAGGCAAGTGCTTGCTATTTTAATTCTAAGTTTGAGGCGTTTTTTAGATGCCCATAATGCATAGATTACACAAAGCTGAATTGACTGACACTGTATATATGTAATCACACATAGAAACGTTACATTAAAGTATGTCCTATACCCTAAGTCTTCTACCTAACAAGAATATTGATGGAATGCAGCAGTTTCTAAATCTTTCTACTATAATCTGTAGCTGAATACACAATGATGTAAATTTTGCTTTCGTGTTCAATGAAATTTTCTAATTATCTCAGCAAAGAAATTTAGTATTTTTAATTTCTTCAGAACAGAAAATCTCCTTTCAGATTTCGATTTTCAGCTGAATTCTATAAAAGTAATCCTATCAAATGAACTTTTTTAACTTTGATTTTTTAAAATTAAAGTATAAGCATATCAATGCACAGAAGTATTTGCATTGATTGAAGATGTGAAAAAAAAGGACACAATGAAAAATACAAGTCTTTGCCATGTAATATTGTAGTATATATTAATTTTCTTTAATTACAAGCAATCGATAAACATTTTTATTCGATCATTTTCTCTAACACCCCGGTAGTGCACCACAAGTATAAGTAACATGTTCTTTCCGTTTTAAGCTCTGGAAAACTCGGTCCCTGGTTTCCATAACTGTTTCATATACAGTGCAATTTGGACTGTGGTGCAAACGAGACATAAGAAAGGTTATTTCCTGCTGAACCACACTGGATGGGAAATGTTGATGGAGACGATGCGAATTTTGGTGTATGGATGTATCACGTGAACCTTCACTAAAGACGACCAGCATCTTCAGGTGCACTCTGGTGTCGTAACTTTGACGTATAATAAGTGCACTGGTGAGACTATGAAATTTCGAATAAAGTTCGTATCCTTATAGGTTGGTTTCTCGGACATCTTTTGTAATATCTTCTTTTTTGGAAATGGGAGTATTGTCTTCTTTCTTAGGCATGGGAGGATTGACAGTTGGGGGTTTCTCTTGTTCTCCGATCAACCAGTATGTCGTCATTTTGCCTTTACCCTGGAAATAAAAGTAAATTCCTATAACAAATTGAATTAAAATCAATGATAGTATTGTTATCATTATCATTAAAAGGGTACAGCCCCAATCCTCCTAGCCGGCAGAAGCCGGCTGTATGATCAAAAAATGGGATTAGCCAGATAGCATTGTTATATTTGTGAAAAGTTAACATATTTGGAACTTAACTTGTTTAAATGCTTATTTCTAGGTCAGTGAAGAGTGCCAGGTGAATTATCGTCTGCTTCTAATATTTTGGTAAAGTAACTCAGAAGAAGGTTTAAAATAAACCTCTTTATTATAAATTCAATTTAGTAAATTACGCGGCTTATGTAATTAACAGAAAAATTCACTGCGCCTCGCGGAATTTCACTAAATATAGACGTCAAAGTTAAATCAATTAAGGTATAAAATTTATTAGGCGAAGCCCTGTAGTAAGCTTTGGCTCAGGCCCTTTCTTTGATCACGCGAGTAAATACGGTTCGTAAAAGGCTAATGTCGATCCAGGTAAGTCTAACAGCTGGGCGAGGATAGCGTCAATGGTCGCTGCCAAAATCTCAGTCTTAAGCTCAAGGACTCTGTACTTCTAGCTAATTTGCCTCCGCCTCCTAGTGGAAGCCAGCGAAAATACAAGTGACAATAAAAGGCCCCCCCCCGAAAAAAAAAAGATAACCGGTAAATGTTACAAAAGAACAGCAAAATAATTGCTTTTTGTGTGTGGATTAAAATTTTTTGCTTCTTAAATCAGAAGACCACTGATATTTTCCCTTTTTAAAAACTTGGAAATTTAATTAACAATATTAAATAACTGTCATATTTTTGTTGGTATATATGACGAAACTTCTGTGTTTGTTAAGTGTTTGTTAAAAAGTATAAATGAAGTAGTTAATTATATAATTAACCAGTTAAAATTAGTTTGTAACTTGGATTTAGCTCACAGTATGTTATATATTATTTTTATGTAATTAAATTTAATTATACGTTATTGCTTTTGACTTCTCATTGTTTGTATAGTAAAAGTAATTTAGAAGTCTTTTAGCCTTCTAAACTAGCCATTACACTTATTCAGTATTGTAGAAAGGTAAAATACTGCATAAGTAGAAGGGTAAGGTGGTAATACTGTGTAAAACAATGCTGGCTTCAGTATAACACTACTAGTGTTTGTAAAGATAGCTTTGTATAATACATAGCTATTGTGCCACAATACCGGTAAATAATCCAGCCCCTTACTTAATCTTTTAAATATTTTATGAAATAGTAATTTGACAGTCTGCCTAATGAAAATATTGTATGTAAAATTACTATAGACTATTTTATTAACAATCTGTGATAATATACAGCAGTTTGAAAGTTTACAGTTTGGCTGAGCTTAAATCACTACCTGACTGCCAAATGCTTATTTGCAATATTTGAAGACTTGTAACTTTGCTGAATATAAATTTAACGTCAGTTTTGAAACACAGTAGAAAGTATTTCAGTTTGTTTAACAAATTGAACTCAATGTTTGATGTATGACCATTTTCAAAGATGAACCTAAACTGCTATCAAATTTCAGAATTTCATTTGCTATATTTTGACAGTATTTAGTCATGTTTTATATCCGATTTACTTCCCAAATCACCTTTCCTTTTTTTTTTTTTTTTTTTTTTTTTTTTAACTCGGACATTTGTATCGACTTATAATACAAATTCTGTAAAATCACGCATTTGGGTTTCAGACCTTGCGTAATTTTTTTGTCTTTCAAACATAAAAATAAGTTGAACTAATATTTTTTCATAATACCTTTTTCTCTTCTTAAGCATTAACCTTGTTAAATGTATTACACGTCTGTAATTTTGTATTTAAGTTACTAAGCAAATGCTGCTTCATCTGGTCAACTACTGTTTGTAAATCCTGAATCGCCTGACATTACATTCCACTGGCCATCACACTATAATGTCACACAAGCCACTGCAGCTGACTATTTGCTTTCACAAAACGGGGAAATCTTCGGCGGCTGCATTCGTTTATCAGGAATGGAAGCCTAACTTCTCGTCGTCTACTGTCATTTTCACCACCGGGGGTTGATTCAGGTAAAGCATGGGAAGCTACTGGTTAGGATCTGTACTTAGAAAGTCTTAGCCACGGGGGTATAAGATCACAGGACTAGAGTCATCGCTGGCGATGGCTGGTTCAGGCTCAGCAGGGACCATATGGTACTATCTTGTCAGTTCCGTTGGTCGTGGTGGAGCTACATAATCAGATATTCATGGTTGTCGGGAGGAAACACCCCGTTCGAGTTCGGCCAGACTTTTAGGCTTCCAGTGGGCGCCTGGACCCTCAAAACTGCATATTCATATCCTTCCTTGATTCCCCCTGGGAGCACCTGGAACCGATGTGTGTATAATATGACGTAGTGTTAGCAGGCTTGATTGGTGGTTCGGTTTGCCGACAATATTTAAGTAACTTTGTTCTGCTGTTCGGGGTTGGGGCCCCTGTTGATGGCAGACGTTTTTATATTTCCTCCAGGACGGGGACGTGGAAGGTGAGTTGCTTAGTATGCCTGTCGACTCGTCTTTGTCTTAGCTCGTCAGCTCGATAGATAGGTTAGCGGCCCTTTGGATCGCCTCTAGGGGTTTTGGCGTTTAACTGTGCTAGGCAACCTCGAACTGGCCATGTTTGATGCCCCTTCCTCCTAGGACACTATCATTTTCACCGTCCTTCTTTCACTTTTCATAGGCATTGTAACATGCTATCTACACCACTCCGGAGAAAACACATTTCTCGCAATATAGGAGTGATCATTGTGTTTTTTTTAAATCAGTGTACCTTTCAGGTGTTCTATCGCAATGGTATAAATGCCCATTTGGAATAAAATGAATTATAATAGATCACTTAAAATCGACAAATTCATTTTTAATAATTGAATACCAAATGAAAATTATTGAACGAGTTTAAATGTTTATTTATTTTAAGAAATTAAGCTGTTAATATTAAAATGTCATTTTTAATGTCATATTACAGTTTGATATTAATTAAAAACCAATGCGTATATTTAAAAATGGCGGAATGTCTTTGAAAAGAAATTTTCAATTAAAGATGCTTGCATTGTTCTGTAAATTCGCAATGTATTACTAAAAAAAGGCTTTTCTGAAATGTTTAAACAGACCAAGAAATACGAAAGAAAATTTATTTCCCTTTGCTTGGCTAGCTAAACCACGCGATGAAAAAACTGTTTTTCTCTTTCAGTCATCAACTAATGGACATTAGGGTTTACGTTACTGTTAAGGTCAGAAGGTCATTTTATTACATTCTTCGCAAAAGCTATCAGCTCCAGGTATATGTAAGGGTTTGGTGAATGAATTTCATAACTTTCGCTGTCAACACGCGAGGTACGAAAGGAATCTAACTTCGATTGTGTGAATATGTGATTTTTCCTGTTCCTCGCGATGTATGATTTTGTATTTTAATAATTTCGAATTTAAAAATAACGCTTTGTGTTGAAAGCGGTGATCATGTTGTTTCTCGGAATGGTTTTAGTTTTATTTTGTTGGGGATTTTATTCGATCAATGGGAGGTTTTGAGCTACTTATTATTTTACTATCTCTAAAGAAAGATAGAAACTTTTTCTCATTGAAACAGGACTCCAACTTCCTGAAGGAGTGTGTAATGATCACAGAAATGAAGTTTAAATGGGGTTTGAAACATTTGCATCATTTTTCCTGTAGCCAAACGTTTGAAACAGCTTTTGCAAAAAAGGAGAAAGCACTTTTTGTTTGCTTCTGGGCTCGCAGATCGCCATGCAAGAGATTGTTTAGCCAAACGTTTGAAACAGCTCTTGAAAAAGAGAGAGAGAAACCCAGTTCATTTTCTTCTGGGCTGACAAATCGCTGTGTTTGAAACAAGGATACTATCCTCGGGAGCATTCGAGAAAATTTTTTCTAACATCGGAACAAGAAATGTTATTTTATTATTTCTTTTATAAGAACTCCGATTTCCTGAAAGATCAGGTGTCTTAGCCTGTTAAGTTGATTTATTAGATACTTAACAAGAACATCATCTTTAACAGAAAACGACGTATTAGCTGTTGATCGTAAATGTCCAAGTGACATCTAAGCAGAGATGCGGTACCTAATATGACCTGCTTGCTTATTTGGATAACTGGTCCAGTCTCTATTTGAAATGCTAAGAACAATAATAGACTTTGATCCAAACTGATCGGTTAGGCCATCATTGGTGATGCTTAAAAATGTTTATAACTATCATCCCAAATAGAAGTGGAACCAATTTTAATTGAAAGTGAATTATCATGCCATCTCTGTAGAACTCTTTAATTAGCAGTCTGTCCGTTAGTGCTGTATTGAATAAGATTGTATTCTTATGAACTTCATAGCAGGACCGTATTTTATTTTTTTGTTTAATCGTTTAACTACGTAGGTTGGGGCGAAAGTCATGGTAACTATTTTTTTTTCCTTGAAGATACCAGTCCGGTTGGAAAATGTGACATATACAGATGAAAGGACAAGGTCTTAACTACATGTGTGGACAATGAATAGCACTGAAATATCGTAACACACGAATTTATTAAGGTAGTACACGAATTTATTAAGTACAGGGCAATATGGCCTTCACCGTACGAAAGAATGATAACACAATACAAATAAAGTTGACATGAGTCCCTGTAGTACCGTGCGGTCACTGTTCTGCCATGAGGAACAAAGTGACAAACAATGACACCCTGACGTCATACGCGACGATCACCATCAATTTGACTGGGAAAGGATTCTGACGGACCGTCTGCTGCCTTGGTGATCCAGGATATCGCCACTCCGCGGACTGATATTTCAGTTCTGGTTTGTATGCCCTGGCCCAAAATTCATCGATGGCGATTATTCGTGAAAAGAATTGATCGCCGTTCTGTTGCCAGCGTGCAAAGTGGTCGGAGCATATTGCATAGCACACCCACCTTTGAACTTCCGTCAGTGCATGCGGTACCCACCGCGAAGCGATTTTGCGTTGCTGTATGTAGCTTTGTAAATATCCTGTTGACCGTGCGTTTCTCGATGCCACTTGCCCTCATGGATGAACTCACTGTAACGTCCATCGTCTGTCTTCATCCATGAGGTACTCGATGACGGCACACTCACCGGTCGTTCCGAACGTTGCTCATCACTGGTTGACACACGTCCTTGCTGAAACTTTCTTACCCACCGTGCTACTGTACGATATGATAGGGCATTATTCCCAAGGGCTTCTACTAATTCACTGTGACAACCATCGCATTTCTCCCTAGGAGAACGGCTATTTTGATGTAAGCACGCTGCTCAACACTGGTTATTTCCATCTCGTACGACACTCACCAACTGACTGATTTCAGAGCCCTCGCTACCACACAGTCAGCTATCACAGAGCCATTTGTTGTTCTGAATACACACTATGCTTGCAAAACTTCCACACGACACATATATGTTTTGTGATCCGATCACATATCTACAAGAAAAAATAGTTGCCATGACTTTTGCCCCAAACCTCGTATTAATGCAAAACTACACTTTCAGATTTTTATTTACCGTCTTCTATCAATTATAATGCAGGAAATATTTTTCTTAGAATAATAATTATGGATTTTATGAGTTTCTTAATGCATTTTTTTGTTTAATTCATGTAGACGTGAATCCACGTAACATAAAATATTATTAAAAGATTCAAAATTATCTGAGAGGAAATAATTCGTTTACCGTTCGTTGTTAATGCAGTGTCTTGGGTAATTTTCCTTTGTACAAATTTCAATAATTATTTAGAGTTTTGATGTTAATTTGATCATATTAATAGTATTTTTAATGTCTGCTTCAGTTTCTTTAATAATTTGACATAAGACAATTTTATTTTGTAAAGCTTAAGGAAAACTGCAAAATGTCACCCTGACTTCATTAACTGCAATAGTGATGCCATTTAGAACATAAAGTTAACATCTAAGAAAAAAAAACAAGGTATGGAAAATAATTGTGTACGAATTATAAGAAAATAAGATTTTGTTATGTTTGTGGAAGAGAGAAATGGTTAGATGTATAAAGATGATTAAATTATTTATGCCGTCTTTATATGGCAGCAGATTCATCCCCCAAAAGAAATGTCAAGAATGATATCATCCAAATACTGATTTCAGAGCCCTCGCTACCACACAGTCAGCTATCACAGAGCCATTTGTTGTTCTGAATACACACTATGCTTGCAAAACTTCCACACGACACATATATGTTTTGTGATCCGTTGACATATCTACAAGAAACAATTAATTTAAATAGTATTTCTTTAAATAGTTATTATTGCTCAAAATTTAAAACATCTCTGTGTTTCTCATATTTCTTGCATTTAATTATTCGTGAGTCTTGCACAGTTTAATTATGGTATGCTTATATTACAGTTTAATTATGGTCTCTAATTAAGGACTTAACTTATTAACTTATAATATTGGTATGTATTATTATAGTTAATAAAACTATAATGACACATACCAATAACTTATTATAAGTTAAGTCCTTAAAGTGTAATTATGGTATTATTACAGTTATGGTTATATTACAGTTTAATTATGGTCTGCACTGCTATCGCCATCCTTATTTCTTAGTAGACCGTGAATTTTTAGAGGTAACAAATTTGGATTTATCCGTAGTTTACGGATCTTTCAGCTTATGACTTGGTATGTTGTAAACACTGTTAAGTTGGTAGTCAATGTGATTGTTATAAGTTTTATTAAACAAGCGATTAATCATTTTAATGTGCTAATTTTCATTGTGTATCAGAGAATAGTAATCTGGAACTCAGTGATATCAGTATTATAATCAGTATTATGAGTGATCAGTGGTCACTACTCTGAGGTACGCTGATATTTTGTGATTAGTGTCTTTGTTATAAATATTTTCTGGACAGTTTCAAGAAAATTTAAATACTATAATGAAAATAAGTTTTTATTACTGTTTGATATCAATACTTTGCTATTCGTTGGCTCCAAATCTTTTAACTATGAGTTTCTTAAGAACATTAATGTCTACGGCACAAGACAAAATTCATTCACATGCACTGATTAATATTCATTTATTAACATTTGTCTTGATTAAGCAAAAGACAGATAAGGGTATTATAAATTATTCTACTTATTAAGCGCAATAACTTACGCAGTATTTTACGAAACAATGTATGCAGTATTTTACGCAGCATATAAATGCAGTACTATTAGCAGGGAACGTTCTGACACAGGTTGTAAGTACGAAGTAAAAGTCTGATACAGGTTAAATATTTATGTATAACACAGGACTAAAGCATAAGAAAGAAAAATTAAATCACATTTAAAACAAGAAACAGAAATTTCCAGCTAATGCCTCTTTTGCCTGAAATAAAATTCGAGCTTAATTTCACATATTTCCATAGCTAAGCTTAGGGAAAGGCTATATTATATTTTGTTTCGTTCCAGTAGTTATTTCAATTATTGGATTTTTCTCTTGTTATTCTTTATGAATTAATTTATCAGGATATCTAAAGCAGCTATGAAGATACGGTTTAGTATTTTTCAGTTCCATATCAAACCCTTACTATTATTTATTAGTGAATTACGCATCCTCACTTTGTAAATGAAATAGAAAACAGATCAATCTACATTTATTTATATCAATTCTTGCTTTTTCGATGATTAAAGTTGCAGTTTTAAATATATTTTCACTTTCACACTGATCAGTGCTCATTGCTGGAGACTTTTGTATATCAATTCTACCGCACAAGCTTTTGTTTTAATTCAAAAGCATTGATCGATCACATATTTAATATACGGTAATTGTAATTAGAATAACTTCTTAGCATAGTCATTCATACGTTTGAAAAAAGACAAGAAAATAGCTTTCACTCTACACTTAATTACACAAAATAATTCAAAATAAAATAGGTTAATATAAGTAATGAGTTCCAGTACTTTACACACTTCAGTCGAATGAGAAAATACATGTTTTATCAAAATAATGACCGGCTTATAACCTGCATCAAATTATACATTAAAATTTAAAAAAAAAAAAAAAAAAAAAAAAACTGAAAAGGGAAGAACACTTACTTTTATTTCAATATCACCTCTACATTCTAAGAGAAACGTTTGGAATGTGTCTAGAACTTCCTTGGTCTTTGTACTTAAATGGATTCGGAGAGCTGTAAAAAACAAAGTAAATGTATTGTTAAGCAAACATTTTATTACGCAAGGAAAGAGAAAATACATTTCAATCTCTTAGAAAATAAATTTACTTCTCTTAAAAGTAAAAGCAACAATTACTTGTTTTACCAAAACGAATAAGAAAGGAAATTAAAAACTTGAGTATTTTTCTCTCTAATCGTTGTTTTAACACTTATAGTGGAAAAAAGACAAAATGAGAACAAATAACTAATGTTCTCTTTCCAAAAATGTGCTCAACGCTGATTTTTGTTGTTTGACTTCTGAATTAGTTTTTATTCGGCGTGTTATTGTGTCTTAAATAGTATATCGTTCTGACTAATATCCATAAAGTTGTATATTTATAATGTTTTAATATTCTGTTAAAAAATAACTACATAATTTTGTCTTAAGCAAGGAAAAAAACATGTTTACTGAATTTTATGCAGAAGTACAACATCAACTTAGCATACACCCTCTGTGGTCGCGAAAATTTTGTTGGCATGCGACATTTGTTTGGAGTACCACTCGAGTTCGATGGGTCACGACTGCTCGTGTGCTGAGAGTGCTGTGGAAGAGGTATTTCTCTCATGGTAATAAGTGGGGAAGGGGTCATGTCTAGATATGTATTCATTTAAATGGGCTATTGAAACATTTTATTCTGTTGATTATGTCATGCGTTCTCCTGCCTTGGGAAATAGAGTTCCATTCGTTCTGCCAGATTTGATTTATTTTCTTGTGCATTTTTTTATGTATGTTTAGGACATTTTAATGGCTTTTTTCTGGAGGGGATCAAAGGCTTCCTATGCTATTGAAAAAGGATGTTCGAAATTCGCTAATGCATACAGCGAAGAAAGAACATCTGCTCGAATTGTAGGTTGGCTGCATTTATTATTAATCGCAATTTCTATTGTCTCTAAATTGCTAACCTTTCCGCTTGAAAAAATGTATCAGTCGTTCTTTCCAGAGTAATTTTAGATTTTCGACTTTATGGAATGTACAGGCTGATTCTAATTTTCTTCTGTTTTAGATCCATCTGTAAATGTTATTAGGTATGTACTGATATTTATAGGATTTTTAAAGGATATTTATAGGAAAGAGTTTTTAATAGTGAACAGAAATTGCCGTTGAATGGCACGATGCTGTTGCTTCTTCTTTTCTGTCATAGGCACAGCCCAGATAGCAGCTCTGCAATTAACAATTTTCTCTATCAAGGTCTTGAACTGTAGCTTCTGTATATGAGCATTTACTGGACAGTCGGTTCTCCACAATTTGAATTCGGGACGACAGTTGGACAATGATGAAGCTCCAGTGGTAAAATATATTGCTTCATATGGAATTAGCGTCAAAATAGGAGCTGCATTTCTCGAGTTGTTTCCTATGGGCATGTAAGTATGAGTTCATTTAGATTCATGCGCTCATGACGAAATACCTCTTGCGAAAATTTCTATGGAAAGTACAGAAAATTCCTTAATCCAGAACTTGAGCCCTGCAGTCCTATTTGAGTTTGGGCCTATGGAAGAAAAACTTGCGAAGAGGAGATATCATACCGATTAAGAAATCCAAATTGCGGCACAAAATAGTTATCCAAATAGAATGGTTATTCTGGCAATTCTTCGAACGAAAATTCATAAAAGTGCTTTCAGTTGCATACTTTCATGTAATTAAAAGAAATCTTCTTATAGACTTCATACTCTTTTTCCATAATGTGAGTGCCAATATATTTTTATGGACTCTCGTATTTACCAGTTTAGGTTATATACAGATTATCTGAGTTCATTCCATGCCAGTTCCAAGATATTATTATAAATGATAAATAAAGATTGAAATGCTTGTGCCTATGTGGTTCAGGTAAATAAATAAGGTACTTTTTTTGCTGATGTTCATTCTGAGAGAAATAAAGTATGAGTTCTCCCATTTTACCTAGATAAATACAAATCAATTTCTAGTAGAAAATTCTGCAAATTAAGTAGCATTTGTAAGTTAAGTGGAGGAGAGGCAAGTCGATGAGAAATATAAATTTAGACAAGAAAGCACCTTTAAATAGCATAAGACCTTCTTTCTCAGGGGCTATCATTTTTGCCTAATTTTTATCCTTTGCATGCAAATCGGAATCAGTTACCTACCTATTTTTAAATCCTATTAATCTGTTACCTATGTATAATAGAAAATGTCATTTAACACTTCTTTGATTTTTGAAATCAGCATTGTGGGAAAATAACATTTATTGTTATAAGAATCAATTATCACCCTCTTTGAGTTACCTGTATTTTGGCCACTTGAAAAGGTAATATTGTTTAGAATTTCGTTACATACGTAAATAATTTAATGAAGTTATATGCGAAACTGCAGTATTCTTTGTACGTAACATGAAAAGTCTCAAGTGGCCGAAGTTCCGACAGGAAAATAACATTACAGGGGTACGTCTATTTAACATTCAGGTAAATGGGCATCTCGTCAAATTTGCGAGATATCGCCGAGATAGCGATGGTTTTGGCACTAATTTTGAAGCCAAATGTGGCGAGAAATCGCCAAAAGTCTTTAAACTTGGAATTCTATTTGGCGACATTTTAGTATGGTCGCTGTATAACTGTAATTGGTACTGTAATTGAATAACAGTAATTGATCCCTATATGTAACAGTAACCGTATATGCCTTCCACTCATTTCGAGAAATGGAAATTACTAGAGATTTCTCAGCAGCCGGGGGAATACTATATAAGCCCGCAGAGAGCTCTGTTTTTAGTTCAGAGCTAAATTCGGAGTATTTGAATCTCCGTGCGAGCTTTGTGTTTTAGATGCGATTTGCATTGCTTTGTGCTTAACGTTCTTAGCAGTTTAAAGTGTAACTACTGATTGTGCTCCGTGATACTGAGAACAGCGGTATGAGTGTTTTTATAGAAAGTTCCAGAACTGTTTCTTTGGGGAAATTAAATTTTATTAAGCTATCATCGGTTCCGGGCGCATTCAATCCATTAACGAACCTGCAATCAACAATATTTATAATTCTGTATAAAATTGAAAGTTTAAACTTCTTAAAGCATTTTTAAATTTTAAATTGGTTTTTTATATTAAAACTGATCTGAATTTCGTTTTACTTCCACAGACGTAATTTCCAACAAATACATACAGCATACTAACAATTATGTTTTAGAGAAACTACTGAATTTGATATAAATCACGATTTATGGCTTATGTTATTTAATTTTCTTTCATGAAATATATTTCCTGTCTTTATAAAGCACAGAAATTCTAATCCGAGTGTATATTCTCGAACTCTGTTCAAACTCTTATAAATCTGGAATCAGACTGTAAAAATAATGTGAAATAAATTATATAGAGTACTTACGTAATCCTGTTGATTCCATCCTGGATGCTGTATTTACAGTGTCTCCAAATAAACAATATCTCGGCATCTTTAGACCGACAACTCCTGCTGCACAAGGACCTAAAGAACATATAAAGCATATAAACATTTTCTTAAGGAAGAACTCTGTAATAATTTATGAGCTACTTTCTTTCCTAACCGCAAACTCTAATGGATAACTTTCAGAAAAGTGGAACTACATAGGATTTAACGTAAAATGTTGTTAAAATTCAAAGTAGGCTGAATAGAATTTTAGATTTCTGGTATATTGTGTATCAACTAAATTTCAATAGCTTTTCCTATAATTTTATTTTTATTCTTACTCTTATAACAAATCTTTGAAATACGTAATTTCACTGAAATAATGTTTTAGACATCAGGAGTTTTGAGAGTGAAAAATCTTAAAAAGTGATTGTGTGCTCACGAGTAGCAGAACTCAGATCTACAGTGCACCAGACTGATACGTTAACCACTACTGTAACACAAAAGCATACGAGGTATGTCTTTAACTTACCGTAAGCTTTTATTTTTAGAAGGGAACTTGAAGAGAAAAATTAAAATAAAATTATGAATTGATTCATATCATGGATTTAATATAGAACTAAAATAATGGCATAGATACTAATATATAACAGAATCATATTATTTAGCTACATATTGTTGTAACCTTTCATGGTAGCCGGCGCTGTTGTGCCGAAAGAAAATATTCTGTGTTTATATTATGTAACTGTTGGTTCGCCGTTGCGATACTGAAGTATTACTGTGATATATCTTGTTGGTGTTTTTATTAAAATATAAACGAAATGTCGTTATCCATTTTGTGTACCAAATCAAGATCATCAAATTACCACCGATGTAAACTCGTCGAAACAAAAGTAGCTTTCGTGTAAGAACGTTCAAGTGTATTCGCCTTTCGAAAGTCGTATTATATTGTTCGCAACACATATTATGTAATTAATGTGAATGATAGATAAATCACCAAGACTGTAAATATATCGATTATTCAAAATTCTGATATCATGACGGATGGCGGACTGGTATAAAATTTAAATTCAGGATGCTTACAGAAACAGCAGACATAGTAACACAGCAAAGAAAAATAAGTAAATTGGTATAAAATAGGGCTATCCCATTGTTTTAATCTCAAATATAAACGGAGCGTTCAAAGACGAACCTGAAATAAGTGATCACCCAATTTCCTTTTGACTAAGTCACGTCAACAAAGAATGCTGTATTATTAACATCAAACGGATTTGGAGTAAGGATGTACGAATATGGTTGCGATGAGAGCTAGCGTTTCGGTTTCAAGTAATGCCACAAGTCACGTTTTTTGGTTTGCTGTATTTCTCGGCATCTGTTACAGCTCCTTTCTTAGCGGTAATTGCTTTTATAGCCATTGCTTGCGCAATTCACGCTTATCCTCTAATAAGTTACTTTTTTAAACTCCACTTTTTTCTGATTTAAGTTTTGCCAAGAAATGAACGAGCAGTTATCCTGTTTCTTCAACAAAGAGATATTCTATGATTTAAGATTTGCCATGAGATGAACGAGCAGTTATCCTGTTTCTTCAACAAAGAGATATTCTTCACAAAGAAAGATAAAGATTGTGTTTGAATAATCCTCTGCCTGGTAAAATTTAAATGCGATTTTAAGTTTAAATGGCCAGCGCAGTCTCCATTCATATTGAAAAGAAAAAGGTAAGCGTTATTTTTTTTATCATGTATTCCATTCACTACTGCCGTATGATTAGTTTACTTACTGAGCCAGGAATTAATGCCAATTGAGTTTTGCGAACCGATAAATATCTTACTATTATTACATTACTCACCATTTTGTAAGGTTTCCACTAAACATATAATTTGAAATCAATTTTCTACTATAAATAGGACTTAAGGGAAAATAAATGAAGTTTTAAATGTTTTAATTTTGAATGAATGTATAACATTTTATTTACTGAAAAAAGGTTTTACAGCTTGCTCAGAATTGTCGTGTTGGCCCGGTTTCGTAATACAATAAAGACCAATACTCCTGTCATTTTGGGGTTTTCTCCATGTGTTATAAGGACTGCATACGAGCCAGTTCTCCTTTGAAACGTTTTCCACGAATGCATTTCTTTTCTTAGGTAGATAGTCCTCATGCTTTACCATAATCAAACAAATTAAGCCAATTCTGCTGTCCAACTCCACACCGAAAGAGGAAATGTGAGAGTAGAACTTTTCAGCATCTGAAATGCTAATGCTTTCAGCTCTGATCTCTAACGACGTACCCGTCTGAATCTTAAACTGAGCATAAGAGGATGCATTAGTTTGTATGTACAAATGATATGATAACGTTTCGTTTTATTTGAACATGGCAAAGAATGCATGGAGTATCTAAGGAAAGGAATGCATTCATGGAGGACATTCTGAGGGAAATTAGCTTGTATCCACACTACACATGGAGAAATGAAAAACAAAGCATTAATTTCGTTGGTAATATTATTCGATGCGAGTTTCATCCACATCAAGTAAAACGGTATCCGCCGATAACATCGCGGCAAAAACATCGCGGACGAAAACGTCGCGGAGAAAACAACGCAAGGCGAAAACGTCGTGGTACAAAACATCGTGGGTGAAAACATCGCAAAGAGACAACATCGCAGTTCTAAAACATCGCGGTACAAAACATCGTCGTCGAAAATAAAGCGGTTCAAAAACTTCGCAGTTTAAAAACATCGTCGTCGAAAATAAAGCGGTTCAAAAACTTCGCAGTTTAAAAACATCGTCGTCGAAAATATCGTGGTAAAAAATAAAGTATCTACAAATCATCGCATGACGATAACATCGCAGACATACTTTTTTCAGGTTTTAATAATTGTAAATGGATATTCCCATAATGATTTGTGAGCGCAAGATGTAAAGAAGGATAATTTTTACTTTCGCACTTTTTTATTAACTAATAAATTTTTGCTGACAAAGTAAGAAGGAAACTTAAGCATAGAAAATTAAATGCAACTTATAGATTATACTTTTCACGAAAAATTACCAGTCAAAACTTTATAAAAAATCATTTATTAATGGCCTTTGTTAGTTAACTATGTCGGTTTAAAATTCTATTAAGTGCTATAAGTTGCATTAATTTGCTATGCTTGTTTCCTTCTTACTTTTTCAGCAAAAATTGATTAGTTAATAAAAAAAAAGTGAAAGTAAAAATTATCCTTCTTTCCATCTTGCGCTCACAAATCATTATGGGAATATCCATTTACAGTTATTAAAGCATGCTTGCAAAAAGCATGTATGAAAAAAGCATGTCTGCGATGTTATCGTCATGCAATGATTTGTAGATACTTTATGTTTTACCACGATATTTTCGACGACGATGTTTTTAAACTGCGAAGTTTTTGAACCGCTTTATTTTCGACGACGATGTTTTGTACCGTGATGTTTTTTCTCTTTGCGATGTTTTCTCCTACGATGTTTTGTAGCACGACGTTTTCGCCTTGCGTTGTTTTCTCCGCGACGTTTTCGTCTGCGATGTTTTCGGCTGTAACCAAGTAAAACTGATCAACCACATGCATTTTGTGAAGCATGCTTTCTACTGCGTCTGTACTATGCCTTACATGATTGCCAAGATTTTATTTCTGAATTTATAAATAATCAGCAAGCATTTAATATTATTGAACGTTCATAGCTTTTCGATCTGGAGTCCTTTAATACAAAGTGAAGAATTTTCCTATGGAGAATTCATAAAAAATGCATAAAAAATATGTCATGGAAGAAAACAGTCTTCGAATTAATTATTAGCATCTGCTTATTGCAAAGTATCTCGCCATGAATCAGTTATAGGAAACCATACGTATGTTTTATTTTTGATTAAATTACAGATTTAAATGTATGTTTATACGTACTATAATGAGGCGGTTAAATGGTACAATAATATTTTTATTGATAGGCAATACAATAGTTGTTAAATATAGTAGCATATGGTGTGTTCTTACAGACTTAGCAGAAAGTATATTAGCAGTATTGAAAGGACTCAAAAGGTTTGCATCATTATTCATCCTGTGAGATGTGTTTGCAAGTAATACATTGCATCTGTGAATTTGTGCAATCTGAATGCTGAAAACTACTGAAATGATGAAATATTAATTCTTTCTATATATTCAGCAGTGCATAAAGAACACCAAGCGGCCCCTCACTCCAGATTATGCTATGACATACTTTAATGCAGCAATGCTTTATTGCCGAACATAGCAATAATATCAAAGATAATTTGAATTCGCTTAGCGATTCAAAGATAAAAGTTGCAGAAAATGTCATATGCCTAAGCAAAAACAGATGAATTCTTTTCTGTTTCTGGTGTATATAAACCAACCAAATACGTGCATATAGTTAATGTCGATATCAGAATGGCTGTTCTCTCAACAAAAGTATATGCTTTTTCCAAACAGAGAAAGTTTAATATTCTCTTACATTGAAATGCTAAATTTGATTGCACTAAATTCATTTTAATGATTTAATCAGAAAGGATGGGGGATTTTATTCCTACAATTTTTACAAATTATAAATCGTTATAAAAAGAATTTGTTTTTGCAGGTGTCATGTGAGGTTTCTTACCCACTAAACTGAGAATGTTTTCCTTCAAAATTCCGGGAGCTATTAATTGACAGCCAAATAATATCTTAGATATCATCTTTCATTATTTTACTTAATTTTAATTATTTATGTGTTAATGTAGGAAAGTAGCTTTCAGATTTCTAAAATATTAAATCTAAAATGTCTAGTCATGATCTCCAAGAATTTTCATCCAAGCAGGTTTTCACAATATAAGAATTTATTTAAAAATTCTTACGTCTTCATAACTGTTTTCCAAACCTAAATTTGAAGATTCTGAAACTAAAGCAATGCATACAAACTATATTTGTAAGTTATGATAAAAGGAACTTAAAATTTCCTTAAATTAAATTTTATAGGAAGCCGATGAAGAAATATGACTATACGTATATGAGATACATATACGTATATGAGACAGATATACGTATATGAGAAAGAGTGAATAAATTATGTAGCTTCTGGTGTTTAACAGGAACATTATTTTGATCACATAAAACAGGTGATCATAATTTGTTTTGTTGAACTGCAATGAGCATCTGACTATAGTTCAAAAGCTCGTTTATTGAAATTCAGTATGTGTATTAAAATATGTAATTGCAATGAACATTTGTCTAAACGTTTACTGAAATTCAATATATATATTAATATGTAACTACAATGAAAATTTGTGTATATTTCAAAGGATTGTTTACTGAAATTAAATATGTGTATTAAAATATGATATAGCAAGGAACATTTGTCTATATTTCAAAGGATCGTTTATCGTACTATGCATATTAAAATACATACCGGTATGTAAACCTATCCTCAGTTTTAGTTTCTCTTGAGGTCGATGCCGGATGGTGAACGATTTGACAGTATTAAGAAGCGCCAAGGACATTCGGGCTATTTCTCGAGCATGAAGATTGCTGTTCCTCACTGGCAATCCTGATACTACCATATATGCGTCACCTATTGTTTCAACCTAAAAAGAAATAAAAGATGTATTTATCGTGAGATAAGTATGCATTTACCTCTAAAGAAGATTTTTAAACGTGCAGCTCAAAAGTGAATATGGTGCTAAGAGAAAATCTTTCGAAACTATTTTTCTTTAGGAGGCAGAAAAGGCTTAGCGGCGGAGTAGTAAAATCGCTTAAAACTGGTAGTTCGGTCCGGGGTTCGAATTCCGGCGAATGGGCTGGTTAACATAGGCGTTTTCCTAGTTTTCCCCATAAGTAATGTGTACACGAGGCAGTTTCTTTTAAAAATTCCTCCACGAAAGCATCCCTCCCCTTAGGAAGATAGCCCTCGAGTGCTTTGCCATAATTATATAAACCAAACCAATCAGAAGGCAAAACTCAAGGCGGATTAGAATGGAATTAAATTTCTGATTGAAGTTGGAGCTTTAGTGTCTTTTAGTTTTTTTCTCATTTCAAAATAAAATTTATGCTCGAGTTATTTGAACCAATAACATTACTTCGCAGTAGAAAATTTTGCAGAAAAATAGACAGGTATTTGAATACTCGCGAGATTCTCTAAGAAGTAACAGGTAGGAGAAGCAAATTATAATAGTCATTAACGAACAAATTATAATAGTGATGAACTGCTTTACTGATTGCGGTGATTTATGTTTTTTAATTTTTTTTCTAATGTAATTTCATAATAGCCTAAGAATCCTATCGGAAAGCGTCAACCATATTACACGGATTTGTATTTTTTCTGCTTTTAGTAATCCTCACATAATCCTTTAATATCTCGACCTGCTGATTCTTACAGCTATCCATCATGATCAAAATAATTTATAAAATCATCAATTTCTTTCTAAACAAAGTGCTCAAAATTCTCGCTAACAGCCTACTTTCTTTTTTTTTTAAGTTAGAAATAATAATAACAGCTTCCTAAGTAACATATGGCTACCGAGAGTCTTACTTTATGAGGCCATAACGCCATTTAAAAAAGAGCCACGCATGTCATCATTCCTCAGATCTTACTGGGTATAGATGCTATATAAATTTAAAACTCTTGCAGCTATAGGTAAATCAATCTGCTTGATTATTGTAATGGAAACATCAACTTATTTAACCTTTTAATTGGCAAGTTAATTTAATCTTCCATAAGAACCAATGAAAATACGTTTTACTTCTGAGCAGCCGTGCCAAATAAAGGGTTAAGAAAAACGCTGAATTTTTGTGGAAAAGTAAGACCGTGCAGAAATTAAAAAAAAAGAAACGTCGAATGAGTAAAGCTTAGCGCTTTAGATTACAAGTAGCTTGTCATGTGATTTTTCACAGCTGACACATTCAGTAGTAATTTAAATTCGCGAAGCTTTTAAAAATATATGAAATTATCTCAGAAGGAAAGATATACAATGCTTCGAAATATTTTTATTTATGTTAAAATCTTGATTTTAGATTAGTTATTATTTAAAGTATCTAAATTGTTATAAATACTTAGCATTAAAACATTTTGACGAAAGTAAAGGTACTTGTAGCACATTATCGTGCCTATGTAAACTTAAGGATTACCCGTCAGAAAATATGAAACAATGGATGGTGACGAACTTGACCTTGACTTGCACTCCATTACTTAACATGCTTGTCTTCGATTTGTACCCATGACAACAGACGCAATCTATGATGATTTCTCTCCAGGCGTATTAACTGGTGCCTTACTTTGATCTATCTCATTTCAGTTTATTTCCGTATGTTTTATGCAATCCGTTAGATTTCCAACCATGGCAACAACGGTCGTAAAATCGCATCAATTCTGTTACAACACCTACGTTCTAATCGCACATTTTGTGTCATTACCTCTGTCTTCATTTATTTATAAGCTTGTGACATACGGTGACTAACCAATCAATTAAACAATTTTAGTCATATAAGCCGTCTGAAATTACAAAGCTTTATCAAGGATTTTGAGTCTAAACTGGGCTGCTTTTCGAGCAGATCAAGGACAAATTGGAGAATAAAATGCCTTCTTATGAAGTGTTTATAAATGATTTTAATTGCTATTCCTGAGGAAAAATGGGACTGGCTGTTTTCCTACGATGTAAGAGCTATGAGATAAGTGCTTGAAAATTGGATGTTTTGACTGTTTTTAATCAGTAATATGCATTTTGCCCATTTTAACATTTTGGATGCTAATTAAATGATGGCTCTTTAAAAAAAAAGATACAGTAATTTCTTATTAGTAGCATTTATAATACTTTTATTATTAATTTATAAATTAATTAACAATTTGATTAATTCTTTCAACTTAGAGACGCAAATGAATGTTTTATTAGGAAGCTCTTATGCCTTTATGAATATAATAAATATAACTAAGGTAACTATAAGACAGAATTTAGTGATTATGCATAATTATTGTTTATTCATAGAAAGGTTATCCGAATTAAATCATTTTGAAAAATAATAACTAATATAAAATAATAGTTTAATAACCAAATTTAGTGAATTGATAGTTTCAAAAAACATTTCGAAACTATCAATTCACTAAATTTGGTAATTATACTATGAAGCAAAGTAGCTAGTTCTTTATATATTTTATTGTACAATAAGGACCTGATAAATAGGTCATGTTTACACTGATTCTATTTTCTCAAGTTTAATCTAAACAAAAAAAAAAAAAAAAAAAAAAAAAAAAAAAAAAAAAAAAAAAAAAAAAAAAAAAAAACTGAAAGTTTTCAGATTTTATAATTACGCTCAAAGGGGCTTTTTTTAACGCTTTGTGTGTTACCTTTATTTATTAAATATCATGTTCTTTGCAATTAAACCATAGAATTCAGTTCAGTAGCAATGTCGCAAAATAATTTTAAAATGAGCATATCTTTAGAATTTCCGATACACAGTTCCGCGCCCGCTGGAGGTAGAAAGGTTTTTTTTTTTCCGTACAGTGTTGCCATTTCTCGCTTTGAAATACTTGAGTTTTTAGGTACTGTTGTTTTGTCACAATGCGAGAAATATACATACATTCATGCAGATTCTTCAATATTTAATTTCTTTAAATATAATGCAGGGCTCTAATACTATTTGGTGCCACTGGGGAAAAGGACCCTGAAGTTTGTGCGCCAAATAATTTAATTCACTATTCTACTAATGTATCAAATGTAAACAAATGGTGGCCTTGATAGACCTAGCTTCATTTAAACTTTTTAAATTACTGATATTTCTAGAGCTATTGCTTGAAAATTAAATAAAGGCATAAAAACCTTAACTAGAAAATATGAGCAACATAATTCCACCCCTTTTACAACAAAAAATGCAAAACTTACCAATTATATGAGAATAAAAATACTCAGCTCACTGAGCCGGATAATACAGTGGTTATATATATATATATATATATATATAAATATTTATATATGCCTCGTGTGGGCGATTGCAACCAAAAATGGAGGTGCACAGCTACATGTTATAGTAGTTCCATATACAAAATTTCAACGCTCTGAGGCTACTCGTTTGTAAGTTATGCGAGAGATATACATATATACGTATATACGCACAGACGTCACGAAAAAAATCTCTTCTGAAAGCATTTTAAATTCCTCTTACATTCCGTTTTGGAAAAAAGAGTCGGGTATTCTGTCCGTACGTACGGATGTCACCCAATAAAATCATTCAAATGGAGATTTGAGAGCGGTCAAAATAGATATTTTCGTTGAAATTTAATGTAGAATCCCTCACGCTTTTTGTATTAAAATGAACGATCAAGAACGTGAACTTGTTAGCGACTTTATCGCTGAGTTCAGACAACAAAGATGTAAACTAAGAAGGGTTAACTATCCGTTATTTCACTCAAAATAAGATAAACAGTCGGCCCTTTTCTTCGGGCTTAAAACATAGCCTCCCCTTGGGCTTAAAAATAAGAAATAAGAACTAACCATAACTAACTAAGAGAATTAGCCGAAGCTAACAAAAATCTAACGTAGTTGGCCCTAATTTAAACAAGCTGGCGAATACCGAAAAGTACGTAACATACGGCCGAGCATAATAACTTCTAGAGAGACTTAGCCTGAAGTCAAACACGCGCTACTCAGGATTCCTAGCTCTCTCTCTAAGTAACTTGGACCTTCCTTAAATACTACTTATGCTGCTATCACATACACTATTTGTTGCCGGAACATAACGTTAGAAGGAGCAATTCTCGGCACTGCGCTTCCACGAAATCGGGTTACCATCTTCACTTGGTAAACAGGCTGAAAGCCAAACAAGAATCAGTTATCGCTCAGACTGACAAAAGTGACGTTTTCTTTCAAGCGACGATTTTTTTTCCGTGTTGTATCGCTCCCACTATTTTCGTTTTAAACTTTATTGTTAATTATAGAAGACAATAGAAAGGTGATGGCTATTAAATTAATCACTTTTATCTCGACTCTGACAATTTTAAGAGCTAAAGAGGAAAAATGTGAAAAGAGAAGTCATAGTTATATTTGTATCCATATATTTATATAATAACTTTTATGTACGTGATATAATGTCATTTACTGATATTTGTTTTGTGATGAGTCAAACATTTTTTTTTCATCCTCAAAATGTTAAATGTTTCATAAAGGCTACTTGCTCAATTTTTTTGTTTAAATTCTCAAGTATACTTACAATTGCAAAGGCTGTGTGTAAATGGGTGAATTTTAATGACTATCCTAATGCACAAAATGCACTGCAATTATTTTTCAACTGTTTATTCCATACCCATGATAATGTGCAAAGAACTGATGACTACAGTTGCTGCCAATTACATAATCGTTATATGAATTAGAAGCAACTTCAAATAAACATTTTGCCAATGTTCATTTTTGTATTCATACATATATACTGTATTTACATACACACAGAAAGAGAGAGATGCGATGGTTTAGAAGTTGTTCATATATGTTTATTAGTATTAATGTAATGAATAAGATTTATATTAATGAATGTATATGTTGGCCATCCTTGATCATGTAATGCTCATTCTTGATCATGTCATGTTGCCCATCCTTGATCA